CCAGGACAGGACGTAGTTCATGGAGAGAAAACGTTTCATTGTAATCCTCACCATTATCAGAGTTTAAATTGACTGATTTCTTTTCTTGTTGGGTTTGGTATTTCTGTAACTTGGGGTTATAGTTTCACGAGGAAGAGTGGTTTGCCAAAGTTTCGCCATGTTTGTTTGCAATTTCAACTTTATTGGTTAAAAGGGAGTCGCCATCTTTGAGATGGCAAACACCAGATTTGGATCCTTTGCCCTTAATCTTTTGAATCATGTTCCACACCTTGGACATGGGTGTGCGGGAGTTGATTTTGGACACATATTTCCTCCATGAGCGGCGTTTAGTTTGTTTAAATGTACGTCTTGCCCTGGCATTTGTCATTTTAATGGCATTCAGGGTATGCACAGTACGATGTTGTCGGAAGTATTTTTCCGCCTTCTTCCTATTTTTCCTAGCTTGTTTACAGTTTGTTTCAAACCATGGCTTGCGTATGTGCGGGTTTGCAGAGGACTTAGGAATGGTTTCGTCTCCAAAGTATTGAAGATATCAGAAAATAGTTCCATGGGACCAGGAACATTCCTGAAGTTGTCTGGTATAAGCTTTCCAGAGCAGAGAGTTTGGAATAATGGCCAATTGGCCTTAGTAAAATTCCATCTTGTTGAAGGTGGTTCATCCACGGGATTGATAGGAGTAAGAATAGTTGGGAAGTGGTCACTTCCACAAAGGTCATCGTGGACCGACCATTCGAACTCGTTTAAGAGATAAGAATCCGTAAGTGATAGATCAAGTGCAGAGTACGTTCCGGTGGCAGGATGGAGATAAGTGTTTGATCCATCGTTGAAGATGCATAGATCATTATTGGAGATAAAATCTTCAAGGACCTTTCCCTTATTATTTGTATCAGTACTCCCCCATATAGGGTTATGGCCGTTCAAGTCGCCCATGATTATGCAGGGCTTTGGGAGTTGATCATATAAGTTCTAAAGATCTGATAGGCGGACAGTTGAGGAGGGAGGAAGATAGAGTGAACATAGTGTAAACCCTATGTTCAGAGTCATGCGGACAGCAACAGTTTGTAGGGTGGTGTTAAGTGGGACAGGGCTATGAAGGATGCCCTGCCTCACCAGGATAGAAGTGCCTCCTGTAGCTTTTACACCGGGAGGAGAAAAGGAGTGGTAGGAACTGTCCCGACGCATGTCAAATTTATAAGTCCTTTTTAGGTAGGTTTCTTGGAGACAAAACGCGGATGGTTTGCACACAGAATGACCCTGGCGCGATCAGAATATCTGAATGACCTAACCGTGAACTGCTGCTTGGGTTTTGCAACTTCAAATTCCCCCGTTAATCTAGTCAGTCTATATCCTGGACAAAATACATTGTGGACTTACGAGTAATCACTACCTATCTTGACAGTAGGTAGATTGGTTTTACATTAAACACTCAACTGTCACTTGCCCAACTGACACCATTTCTGTAAATACCGTGCATACAACAATTAACGTCCTGCAACAAGAGGGATTTCTTACTTACAGGGATTTCTCAAGTATTAAATATATAAATATTGTGTGCACAAATTCAAATTATATCCACGACAAGATACATTTTGAACTTAAGTGTAATCATAAGAAAGCGCCGTATCGCGACATTAGGTATACCGGTTGTATTATATATATACCTCCCTCCATGACCCACTGTCCATGTTAAACTTAATTGGAACGAAGCATTCGGTTTCTCTCTCTTGCAGTCGATTAACTCGCTACTAAGAAGAGACATTATTATTTTGCAAAATATTGCTAATTTCCTAATTGTTCCTAGTTTGTTAGAGTGAAAAAGCTGGTTCGTTTTGTGCATATGCGGGTTCCTACAGAAACAGTTGTTGATATATTTTTCCTTTCTAGGGGCAAGGTGGGGCAAATAAACAAAAAAGTCAAATTCATTTCCAATGTCGTTTGCAATACAGAGAATACATGATCTTTCACTTGGGGGAGTTTTGATCCATCGTCCTTTTTCAATTAGTAGATAATGGTTTGAAGTTCTGAAATTAAGTAACGCCCCCCGATTATTATAATATAATAAATTCAGATTGGTTTCATACTTCAGTTCAGAATTTTTGAAAATATTGTAAATAGCTCCTTTTGAAGATTTTTCTGTTTTAATATCCAGGTTGTCTTTTATCTGCCTCGTATCTCTATTATTGTCAGATCGTACGGTCTGTGATATACACATCTGCCACAAGGTTAGATAGTTAGAGACACAACATTCTGATCATGTGATTGGAGGGTATTTTTAAATTGTGTCTATGAAAGGTCATGATTGACAGTCTATACGTCCACGAATTGTGTCAGCATGAGCAATGTTAAATAATGTAAGTGGATCAGATAATGTTGAAAATGTAAATATGTCAACTGCTTTCATTTCATATACACACCAACATGTATTCACATCTTCACCGACACACCAACACACAGTAGAGGTATTTTATGAGTGACTGTGAGTGATAGTTGTATGCCACTTTTAGCAATATTCCAGCAGCATTACAGCGAGGGACTTTTATGTTCGGCCTGGGATGGTTCAAATTGTTTGTGGAAACCATGTATCAGTGTTCATGTGTATGCATTGTCTCGTTCTTTAAAACATTGAATACTTGTTGTTGTTGATGAACCTTCAACTAATGTTACAGTTTTGGTATCTTTCCACAAATATCCCACCTCCAATAACACTAAACATGGCAAGCAGCTAACCCGGATGTCATCACGTATTATCTCAAGACTATAATAAAATAGTCGGAAACATTTCCTTACTTAGAAACGACCTTTTACATTTTAACAAAACGATCAATAATTGTATTACCCTGATTAGGTTTTGTGCTTACAGAAATCCTTGTGGGTAGCAGTTTTGTCTCAAGAAGAGGCGCGTGGTGTCTTGTTACCAGTTTATTTACCACTATTATCTGGTGGGTGGGACATGCTTAACAGTTTCGCGAACACCTGGTGTCATCACTGACTTTCATTGGTACAGTCTTCATATCACTTTCCCAGTCACTTCCTCAGATTTTAAGTCACATCGGCAGTATTTCAGCCATATCGTGTAAATCAAGTTATAGATTTATAGTAATTAAAGTAATTTTAATTTCTAAAAACCTGTCAACGAAGGACCGTAACTATCACATATGTAAATTTAAAACTAGTAATTAAATCTAAAACATATAACTATAGATGACAATGCAATATTAAAACAGGCTATATATTGCTAACAACCGAAGGTAGATCACCAAACTAAGGATCATTGGGGACTTACAGTACTTTTGCTTCCTGCATGGACCCAAGCTAGATTTAAGCATCCCTTCAGATATTTACAATATAGCTATAAATCCCACCCATTTAGCCCCTAATGCCCAAAGAACATTGTTTCTGCAGATAGTCAACTAGTTATTCTTTTGCATTGACGTTTAATAGTCATATGATGCAACACCAGTTTATTACGTTTAAAAATATATCAACGACATACATGATTAGAATGGCAGAATCATTTCCTGTGTGATCATGTAAATGATTGGGTTCATCATTGTTAAAATGGGACACGTATCGTGGCTGTGTAGGGTACAGTTAATCGTCTATGTTGTTCATAATTCGCCTGCAGGAAGATGTCAAGACCTTTCATATTATATCGGAAGGGTTTATCGGGGATGGGTGAGGACAACTATTGCCACAACTATGAAAAAAGAAGGATCTTTATCATATGTTGATAACATTATATCTTAATATAGATACACACGTTCAGGCCTATATTGGGAAAACTACTTTTGTTGAAGCCTTAGAATATAATCCATGATAATGTACTTGACTCATGAGAGGAAAATACTCTCTGATACAGGTTTTGTATTGTAGCCATATATTATTGTTAATGTAACAAACATAAACGGCAATGATTTGTAAATTCAGAGTTGTAATCTTTTTCAAACATTGATACTTTATAAGTGGCATTGCAGGATGTAAATACAGACAAAGTTGCTCGCCCATAGTTAACAATCATATTGTAATGATCAGGTAAACGATTGCTGCCTTGTGTTATGTTGGCTTTTGGACATACTCGATGATGTTTATTGCTAAAGCTACCATTCGTACAACCAGAAACAGAGGTTTCCCATGAATTACATGTTGATTCTGACTGGCGAGTTTTCAGTAACAACCGTTAACTGATTTTGTTTCATGTGCCGGCCACAATGTCATGGACTGTCATGTCCATTGGAAATGCCTCCTTTGTCAATAGATCAGTAAGCACATTAGATTTAAGTTGAACCATGCATGGATGTTCAGAGAAGAAAAATAGGCTATCGGTCAACATATTCGTCTACCGTTGCACGTTTACGTTCCAGATGCAAATTATATTCTACAAAGAAACAGTTTGTAATCGACAGCTAACAGAGAGGGGGAACAAGAAGTTCATTTGTCCCCCTTCGATAATCGCAGAACGAATTTGACTTCTGACATTGCTTAAGTACACAAAATGTCTGAAGCTTGTAAGCATGCTAATTGCACTGACATGCGTTCAGGTCCAGGGCCCACATGTTCAAAGCCATCTTAGCGCATATACTTTATTAAGTCTAAGTTAAAGTACTGAGTTTCTATCATCATAGCGCAAAGACTGAATTGTGCAAATAAATTAAACTTTTCTGGAAATAAATACGATCCAGCAAATTTGCCAGATCGTTCGGAATTACTTGCATTGCAATAAATCTTTCGATTTTTTTGTGGATATATTTCCTTTCTGATTTCTGACGGAAATCCTAAATATTAAGAAATAAAAAATGCTGACATGAAAATACAATTAGAGATTTCAGCTAACACTCTTTGCTTTTATATATTATAGAAATTGAAGATGTCTAAAAATGTACATTTGTAATTCTGGTGCGCCGCAGTGACAATTACAAACTGAAATCTCCTTGAGAATACTTATGGACACTTGACGTTTACCCCTGGACAAGTGGGACAGTATGGGCGTATGTGTCAACACGGCTATCAAGGCGTTATCGCCGCTCTCGTTCAGGTCACCATTCTTTAGTTTGTTGGTGGAAACTTCACTCTTGGCATAGATTACTACCTGTACAAACTGATAATCCTCAGTGTATAACCGGTCTCTCATGGCTACGTTGGGCATCGTTAGGCTAGTAGGAGCATGCGTGATTCTCTCTCTAGGTAAGTACACATGGCAGTCCATGCATATGTGGTGTTAAGCCATTGACAGAGAACCAAAGCGGTAAAAGATGAAAATGAAAATATCTTTGGTGGGAAGACAAATAGATCAGTTACCTAGTTCTTAATGAATGTGTGTAAAGGTAAGGTTTTTAAAACAATAATATTGCATCAGCATTACGGCGGATAACAGCATAATGGAAGTCATTACAATTTACACACGTAGGAATAAAACCTTGCTGTAAGATAAATCGGTTTGCATGTTTCAGAGTGAAACACATACGCTATTCTTTACCTGTGAAAATTCCGATAAAACCGTTAGTAGCAGTAAGTGAGTGACTGAGTTAAAATCTCACATCGCACGGCAATATTGCAGCCATATCGCGATGTGAACAAGTTGAATACAGTTAACTGCCTGTCGACAAAGGGCAGTAAACAGTATGTTGAATATAACAGATAGTAGGTATAAAACAAACAAATTCAATATTAAAAATATTACTTACTCAGAATATTATCTAATAGAAATTAAAACTCGGTTATAGACCACTAGCGACCCTTCCTGGGGATCAGGGGTTCGTTACTTATATACATGATTCCCAGGAGGCTTTACGTCATCAGAAATCTGCCAGCGAGCATGTAAACTGGCAATCCGGGACTCGATCCAGGCAGAGATCAGGAGGCCACCAGTTGATGTATGCAAAGCCAACCAAGATTAAAAATTTAAACTATAATCGAGTAATTAAAATGCTAGTTGATGCTACATATTTCAGTTAAGATTGGACTCATGTGCCACTGTCAGGGAGACAATAATTTTATGCTGCTGTACCCAACTGAGTGGCACAGCCATCAGTAATCTCAGTTGGTGATAACATGAAACTAATTTTAAAACAATTCAAACATTCAAAATTTATCAAATGTTGGTATTTTATTTTTAAAAAGCTACAATTAAAAGAGGATTGATATTCATAAAAAAGATCCTTTACAGAAGATGAATAATGACTGGTACGTTAGTAGCAGTGTTTGTAGAACCCATGTAGTATTAAAGGAATTGCCACAGGTCGAAGAATCTGATCCCTGTAGCCCACACCAGTTAAGTTGCCCTGAACAATCACCAAAGGAGTTCTTTGGCGTGCTGTTATTCCACCCCAAATCATCACGGAATCACCACCAAAGCGATTCCTCTCCAAGACCCAGGCCTGTGCATAACGTTCTCCAATGCGTCTATAGGCACGTTGACGTCCATCACTTTGGGAAATGTTAAACCTGGACTCATCTGTAAAAACAACATTTCCCCACCAAAACAAGGGTATGCGGACATGATTTCAGCACCACATTCGGCGAGCTTGTCGATGACGTTGTGTCAGGATGGCCGTATGGCGGGACGTCGTGGTCTAATCCCGTGATGACGTAAACGTTGTCAAACTGTGTTCGGGGTGGATACGGCGAAGTCCTGGGATGGTTCGGGCAGCCATCAGTGCAGTCTGAAACCTGTGGCGAAGATGGGTCACCCTTATCCATCTGTCCTGTCTTGGCGTTGTTACACGTTGACGTCCAAAACGTGGCCGATCGATGACGTCATTTGTGTTCTCGTAGCGTCTCAACCAGTGTAGAAATGGTGTTCCGGTGACAGTAGAAATGTGCAGCCACTTGTCGTTGACACATTCCCCAACGGACCATCCCAATGGCCTCATGACGTTGTGCAGACGTGAGCCTTGGCATGCTATCCGTTTCAATAACCGTTTAATATTTTGAACGATTGCAAGGGCAGGGGTTGTGCTTTCCAAAGTGACAGTATTGTGTGGCATTCATTTGCTCTGTTTCTCTTTCCCGGAATGCACATGCAACAACGTATTGCACGTCTCAAGGACGAAACCACTGACGTCACGGAACGTGGCACGTGCATGCATGTTGGATACATGTCACTAATCTCTGAGTTTGAATCCTTATGTGTCTACACAGGTTTGATAAATTTAGATTTTAAATTTTTGTATGCACAGTTTCTTTATGTGCCTAGTATATATCAAAAGGAGAACACGTGTGTAGGATCTATTTAAAAAAACAAACAAACAAACAATTGAGAAAAGTATTTGTTTCTTATTTTTTGTCCAAAATAATCCATCATGAGATATTTACCGCGTGAATTATGTACACACTGTCTCCAAACAGAAACATATGACACATAAGCGGGGACCGCATCCGTGGTGTAGTGGTTAGAGCGTCCGCCCGGAGAGCGGAAGGTCGCGGGTTCGATCCCCGACCGCGTCATACCAAAAGACGTTAAAATATGGTACTTGTTGGTCCCTGCCTGGCGCTCGGCATAAATGGGTACAACAAGGACTGGTCGGCTTGGAGTCAGTATAATGTGTCTGAGTGGGGTATTCATGTTTCACTGCGGCATGGTATCTCAGTGGGCTAGCACTATAAAACCAGCTTCAGTCTGGGCTAGTACAAGCAGCCGCACATACACATACACATGCATGCACGTCATCATATGAGCGAAATATTCTCAAGTACGACGTTAAACCCAATTTCACCTCACCTCACCTCACATAAGCGGAAATGATGCTTGACATTAAGTGGCGCTACTTCTGACCACAAGCACAGCTTTGACATGTTAGCGAATATACTGGAAACATGTCATACGCCATACATTACAAACATTCATGTAGTCGTTAAAATTGCTAGGTGCAGTTTTATACAGCAAACATAGAAAAACACAATATACCACCTTCACACTGTTGTATATGATCAGATTATTCATTTCAGTATTCGGGCCTCAGACCTAGGCAATGCTGAGTGCGGCGTAAAACTCACTCACTCACTCACTCAGACCTAGGCACAAACAATTAATTGAATAGTTTACAGGTTTGTTCAGAATGAAATTATAGTAACAAATATGAACGGTTGGAGTATATTTATCAGAGTAAGTTAGAAATGGATAAGTAACATTTCAATGTTGAAGAATGTTTGAATGTATATCTTTACACGGACACACGAATACAAAACGATTTTCTTATTTCGCCTCTTGACTTAAATAATGGACAAACACGAAGAGCCTTTTCCGTGGTGTTAGAGGGTAGAATGGAATACCGAAACCCATCCCAAAAGCTGAAGCAGGTGCGTCCTGAAATGATGGCTACCATCATGATAGAATTAACGGGAAGGCAATGGCGACACAAAGAACAGAAGGGATCAAGAAAGTTCGGAGAGCTGATACAGAGATGTGGAATCGGTCCCATTCGTTCTGGTTACTGTCTGTCACTGGATACGCCTGAAGTCAACGTCTGATAGAGTGTTTAGCCAATCAAACTGAGATATGATGATATGTAACCAAGTCCAGAGGCTTTACAAACATACCTTTAACACCAGCAGAGTAGTGCATGCTTTTGCGTTGACCAAGGCTGGGACAAGCATATCCTGTCCTGTATTGAAGTTTTAGGTTGAGAGACTCGAGTATAGAACCTGGTGTTATTCTTTGTATCAATGGGCGCCTGGACATGAATGTGATGTTGACAGTTAAGAGTCACGGTCGTTCGACCCCTCACTCCTTGATTACCCCCCACTCTTTAAATAAAGAACCGTCGACGGACCAGGTGAGAGTAGCGCCATGGCTTACACCTGCTGACGTCAACGTGGAACGGCAATACGTTTCGGTTATTGTGGGGTCATCTGACACGCTGAATGCAGTTACGACGGTACCAATTCTTCTTCCTGTATTTCAAACTATGTTTTACCAAAGCATGCATTCTTCTCATTTCTTTTAAATGCTAAAGATATCTTATACAGAGAATACAAGTCTAATTCTGTACAACTTACATCAGCCCACACAGTTTCATTCATAAAACAAACCTTTTCACCAACTCCTAGATATTCCAGTACAACACCCAAGCAAAATGAATATAGGGTAGCCCATGTTTCCTACTTATTGTATCTAAACTGACTAGCATATCATAACGCCGATAAGAATATCTATCTGCTGGCATATCATGTAACTTAAACCAGTATCTCAAACATCTCAAACTACAAACTGTAACAATTGTAGTACTTGAAATGTATTCCTTGCAGAATTTAGCATGAAAACGCTCATGAATAAGCTGTATAACATACTTGTGTTCACCTGAAAATGAAACATTCTAAACGAGGCATTTGGAGAAATGTTGTGAAACTTATAACTTAATTGTTATATGGTACATGCAGATCTGCTAATGTTTAATGTTTATGTCCGTAGAACGTTAGACCAACATAATGTGTTTGAAAACAATATACGGAGATGACTACAATATGTGGACAGCTTCACAGATACGTTACCGTGCTTATAATTCTCATACTTTCTCAATGAGACAATACAATTTCAGCTTCATCTTTGCTAACGAACACCCTTTAATAACACATTTTAAACCAGACATCTAATTGTCTTTGAGATTTAAGAAATATCAATGTAATCGGCAAATGTGGACAAATCATCGGCATATAAAAGTACAAACCTTCCATCATATGCTGATGCCCAAAGATTCCTCTGCCTCCAAACTGTTTCATATCATTGTCCCCTTGATTTATGAAGAATGAAATCAAAAGCGACAATTGATCAGAACATATACTACAGTTTAGGATAATCTTAAAAAGGTTCATTAGATGATGAATTAAAATATTGCTACCATACGTTAACATCCCAGGCGTAATGCCATCTAGACCATTGGCCTTATGACATATAAGAGCATTTATATCATGGACAACTTCATCAAGTGTTCATGTCAGTATCCTGACATACAGCACATTTAGTGTGAAAATGAAACACACTCAACGTGTTAAAATTGTCGGAGATATTTAATCAGTAGATGTAAACAATTTAATCAGCAGTGCTGGAACTTTGAATAGCAAAAAGTGAAGGAACCCTATCGATAATTTCTTCGATGCCCGTTAAGCAGGAGAGTACCATACATACAACTGAGGCTAAAAAGTCGTTTCCCAAATTCTTTAACATATCTGTCACTAGGGTAGCTCACGCCACATATCATTATCTTCGTTTCTTATTATACAGTCCATTACAGCACCAGTAAAATAAAATCCCTGACCTATGAAATCTGGACATCTTAAAGCTGTCTAAGTAACTCATTCAAACAATGCTCTATATTTTCAGTGACTTGGTATACACGATTGACTTGCAGTATAGGGCTATTCTCCAGATGAACACGCACAGATCCTTACTCAGTCATCAAAACTGAAGTTTAACAATTCCAAAACAAATGAGAGAAACATGTTAAGTATAGTCATAAGAGATGCCGCCGTTTTACGGATGGTAAAATAACATAACTTTCGCCACACGGGATATATGAACCCCGAAATATGAATCATTTACGCTTAACTCCACTAGTATTTTTTATGGCGCTTCTCATACATATACTCTGTTGTAGGTGGTGGGGAAAACATTGCTCTCCACAAACAAACATGGATGAGTAGTACCAGGAGAGTACAATATTCCAGAAGAGCGGTAGATGGGGTGACTGACGCATATAACGAGTCATTAACAATCCACACCTCGTTGCGTGAGCCTAATGCTTGGTGGAAGGTTGATCTCGGGACGGAGGTTCAGTCTCCATTGATCATCATCTACTTCAGAACTGACTGTAAGTAATGTTTTGTCAAATATTCATACTTATTACTTTGATACAAATATGTTCCAATTGGCTTTTGTCAACTGTGGGCCAGTTTGTATATGTACGATACGATGTGTATTGTGATTTCAGGCCACTTGTATAACAATGCGCTTTCTTACTGTGGAGCACACTGGTTCTGAGTATGTGAGTTCCCGAATTGAGAAAGACCTGTTTACACATATTATTAATCATGTTCCTTGTGATATTTTAGCATTTTCCAATGAAACCAGAGTTTTTATGATGAAGGTTTCAGGTGAATGATTTCTGATCTGATTTATTTTCAGACAAAGTCCGCCGTAATGGGTTACAATTTTATGGCTCTGTTACAAGTTCTCTTGCTCCAAAAAACGGAAGTCTGTTTTACACGGTCAGGGGACGTAGAGACGGTCGAGATATTGCTGATATTCTAAACGTTACCTGTAACGAAAGCTTTCGCTTCCTTACTATTTACACTGAGACAACCAATGATAACGGTGGCCCTGTGTTGGACTTTGCGGAAGTAGAAGTTTGGAATACTTATCAATCACAGAGCCCATTCACAGAAGATGACGATGATGATACGCACTCAGATTATGATACAATACAAACTTTGAGTAAGTATACAACATTATTTCGCATTTTATACTTCTTCGTGTTTGTGAATGGAATCCTGTGTGCTCTTGGTGTTTGCATTCCTTCAAAGCAGAATGGTGCAGATCAACGGAAGTTAAGGTACAAAACGGCCACATGGACATTGTCAGACGATGGTAAATTTTGTGTGAAGTTTACTGAGAAAACAGTTCGTGAAATTTGGGACTTCTTCACAATCACTGTAATGATTCAGAACATTTTAAACATTTCGAAACAGTATGTTGCAGACCAACGGAAGTATCTCCGTTAACCAATATGGACAATATCATATACATAGATTCAAACGTTTTCAGAGACGAAGGCACATATATGCCATCTGATGTTTACTGATAAAACAATTTTGGTCTCGTCTTGTGAAATGTGGGGCTAAGGCATTCAGAAAGATTCTTGAAGAGCCGGTTAGAATTGGTCATCAGCAACGCATGAGAGGCGACTAAGGGGATCGTGTGAACTGGTTGATACATGTTAACGTGTTGCAAGTGTATAGACTGATGCTCGCGCTGTTGATCGCTGGATTGTCTGGTCCAGACTCGATTATTTACAGACTGCCTCCATTTGTAAAATTAATACCAAATGCGTAATACCCTTGCCATCTTGTATGCAAGAAATACATAATCCGAGTGTGTGGGTTTTAGTCTCAGGTAGTGGTCTAAACGTTGCTCTGCATAAGCGAACATCCATGAGCAGTACCAGGAGAGTCCAATATTCCGCGCGAGCTGTTGACGGACAAACTGATGGTACCGACGAGTCATTGACAATCCACACCAAGGAAGACGAACCCACTGCATGGTGGAAGGTCGACCTGAACGTGGAGGTACATTCTCCCATGATCAGGATCTTCTTCAGATTTGACTGTAAGTAATAGTTCTTTGAAGAATCAAACACAACGGATGCCTGTGTGGTCACATTTGCAGCTCTCATAATACCTTAAAACGTTTGAACTAAATATTTGGTAAATTAAATGGGACTTGAAAAGTTGCTGAGGAACAATATAGACAATATACACTTGTGGATGACAACTTTTATATCTACACCGTTACAATCTGTCAATATGCATCCTTCTACCGTTGGCAATCTTGCACTGGTATAAAGGGTTAATCCTGGATGTCGCATCACAATAGAAGCATCAAATAATAAAGAGCTTGATATCTATATCCTTCTACCGTTGTCAATCTATAAGGGTTAATCCCGGATGCTGCATCACAATAGAAGCATAAAAGAATAAAGAGGCTGCCATCTATTCCGGCACTATCACTTAAACAGACACCAGATATGGCCTTCACGCATTGTACAAATGTGGGTACTCGAACTTAGGTCTGCATCTAAAACTTTAACCATAAGCCTACCTCACCGCCCTCGTTCATAAAAAGACCCGTGAAGATCCGGGTTAGAACTGATCTCCAGCAACCCATGCTTGTCGTAAGTGGCGACTTACGGGGTCGGGTGGTTAGGCTCGCTGTCATTGTATCCCAATTGCGTAGACCGATGCCCATGATGTTAATCACTGGATTGTCTAGTCCAGACTCGATTGTTTACAGACAGCTGTCATATAGCTGGAGTATTGCTGAGTGTTTTGTTAAACAAAAAAACAACAACAATCATTCATAAACGTATCCTGCTTTTACATTTGATCCGATTGCATGTTACATAATGAAAATATAATCAGTCTTTTAAGCATGTTATTTGTAGCGCAAATACTGCACCTATTTCCTAGACCCACGACGGCGTAATGGCATACAGTTCTACACATCACGCACGGATTCCACTAACCCCAAGGAAGGGGATCTTTGCTACACTGTCACAGGACGTGCCGACTGTAGGGACATAGCGGACATACTGTATGTGAACTGTTCTGGAGTCTGGCGCTACTTGACTATCTATACCGAAACAGATAACGACGGAGATGGCCCTGTACTAGACTTTGCAGAAGTAGAAGTGTGGAGTAAGTATGTTCAGATAGCCTTTCACTTTACCTTCCGTGGAGCTGCCTGATGAAGCATTAATGTATTCTACATTCCAACAGAAAGATTCACACTACGAAAAAGTATATTTCATTAACACGTGTTTGCCTAAGTTTAGTATCTCCAAATACAGAAACAACAAAATAATAACGAAAGAATTATTTTAATGACAACACCCAATATCAGTAATTACGTTTGCTATAATGACCATCTAATCAACTGCTGAAGCCATTTCAGTTCACGTCAGCAAGAAATTTCCAACAGTCAACAGTTTTCCAGACAACACAGATCTTATGAAATAGCATAAACAGCATTAACAGCTATTGGACATTATTTATGCATAAGTTTGATTTAGGATTGTTTCCAGAAGGAGCTGTTTAATATTTGAAAAAAAAGATTGATTGGTTGGTTCATAGTTTAATGCCGCGATCAGCAGTATTTCAGCTATATGGAGGCGGTCTGTAATCGAATCTGGACCATCTGAAAATGCCAAGTCTTAATGCAAGATAGTGTTCCCAGGAAACTTAGTTTTTCCCAAAGATATGTCTTTATTTCACCATGGTATGTGTTGTTAGCTGCAAGTTATATGAACATGTTAGACAGTTTATGCCTGAAGCAGTGTCATGTCTATCAGGCTGCAAATAGTCAATATGAAGTTTCAAACGTTGAGTTCACTTATGGAGTATGTTTATTGCTGCACTTAGTTCCAAAACCAACGCTTACGACAGTCACCCCAGGTTGCACGGAAGGACTGTGGTATGGACCCGACTGTAGGAAGTCATGCGCTGCACGTCACTGCAAGATAAAGTCCAGTTGTGATGTGACACAAGGCACGTGTGACGGTGGATGCAAGCTTGGCTGGCGTGGAGCTGACTGTACACAGGGTAAAACTATTTGATTACCTTCTTGAATAACGTGTATACACTGAAATTCAACAAAATATGACGTGATTATGTAATATGAAAAAAAACCCACAGAGGAGTACAAAAGTGTTTCAATCACAGTACTAGACTTTGCATGAGTAGAATGTTCAGATAGCCATTCACTCTACCATCCGTGGAGCTCCCTGATGAAGCATTAATGTATTCTACATTCCAACAGAAAGATTCACACTACGAAAAAGTATATTTCATTAACATGTGTTTGCCTAAGCTTAGTATCTCCAAATACAGAAACAACAAAATAATAACGAAAGAATTATTTCCAGACAACACCCAATATCAGTAATTACGTTTGCTATAATGACCATCTAATCAGCCGATGAAGCCATTTCAGTTCACGTCAGCAAGAAATTGCCAACAGTCAACAGTTTTCCAGACAACACAGATCTTATGAAATAGCATAAACAGCATTATCAGCTATTGGACCTTATTTATGCATAAGTTTGATTTAGGATTGTTTCCGGAAAGAGCTGTTTAATATTTGAAAAAAAAGATTGATTGGTTGGTTCATAGTTTAACGCCGCACTCAGCAGTATTTCAGCTATATGGAGGCGGTCTGTAATCGAATCTGGACCATCTGAAAATGCCAAGGCTTTAATGCAAGATAGTGTTCCCAGGAAACTTAGTTTTTCCCAAAGATATGTCTTTATTTCACCATGTTATGTGTTGTTAGCTGCAAGTTATATGAACATGTTAGACAGTTTATGCCTGAAGCAGTGTCATGTCTATCAGGCTGCAAAAAGTCAATATGAAGTTTCAAACGATGAGTTCACTTATGGAGTATGTTTATTGCTGCATTTAGTTCCAAAACCAACGCTTACGACAGTCACCCCAGGTTGCACGGAAGGACTGTGGTATGGACCCGACTGTAGGAAGTCATGCGCTACACGTCACTGCAAGATAAAGTCCAGTTGTGATGTGACACAAGGCACGTGTGACGGTGGATGCAAGCCTGGATGGCGTGCAGCTGACTGTACACAGGGTAAAACTATTTGATTACCTTCTTGAATAACGTATATACACTGAAATTCAACAAACTATGACGTGATTATTTAGTATAAAAAAAAACCCACAGAGGAGTACTCATTTGTATCAATCACAGTACTCTTTTGTAAACTTGTGTAAGTGGGAAAACTGTTGGTTACGGAATATTTTGGAAATTATTAAGTGTATTTCACCAGTAAATTCTCATATAAAACTAACACACGGAACATAAGTCTACTTCGGTTGTGCAGGTAAGAACTGTTAACTATTAGCGTTATGTTAAGTAAGTACTGTGTTATAGCATTAAGGTACTACAATAACGAGGGCGTGAAGTTACTTACACATGTTTCTTTGAGCAACAGAGACACCTTTAGGCGTCAGACAACAAGTTCTAACATATCTTATTGGAAGGGACTTTCGCGACCACAACGGGCGACTAGATACATCTGTATGTTCTCTGATGTTAAATAGGTGTATATTTACATTGGAAAACTAAACATATTCACATATTGTTTGGCATGCCCAGTTTGCCCAGCTGGTGTGTATGGTGTGGATTGCAGCAACGGCTGTGGTAGATGTGGTAACAACAGTTTGTGTCACCACGAGACCGGAAGTTGTCCGGATAGATGCGAGGCAGGATGGCAGCTGGATCTGTGCAAAGACGGTGGGTTAAGATGACGCACAGCTCATCATGTTTTAAACTACAAAGATGTTTCGGTTGTTAAAACCGAGCATGTCAGAAAAGGTCACATCAACGTTTAGGTCATCTCATTGCAATAACGGTCATGTGTCGTCGTGCCCGATGTTATTTATGTGACAACAGTGTTTCACAGCTTGTCCTAACGGGAAATACAGATTGAACGGTGTAACTGACTGCGGTCACTGTAATGGATCCTGTGACGTGGTTGACAGAGATGTCTTCAAGGATGCAGAAATGGATAAAGCGGAACTTGTTGTAGTAGTATACACAATAGCGCAACGGGACCAGGTCCTCCCAAGGCCTTAATTGTACCAATGTTACTTGTTATAAAGTAGCGAGGCTGAAAATTCAATTAGCAATATGTCCTCTGCGGTCAGAGTTGACAGTTCACAGTTCAGAGGTCAAAACCTTATCGTTTTTTCTGGTCTGCACAGTTGCGGCTGAAGCAAGGCTAGCAGACTATCATTGCTAGTCTATGTTCTGAGCGAGGTGTCTCTCTCAAAGTCGTTTTTCTGGTATTGCAGTGGCTGCCTAAACTATCTGCAGTGTCTAGGGGTGGTCTCTCTCGGCTCGGCTATTCAGCTGAGCTGAGATGGTTGTCTGACTACGTTATGTTCATTTCCGGGAAACAATTTGTTGTGAATCTCCTATGATTTGTTTGGTTTTCGTAATGAAGGCTTGCCGGGCCTGTTGCTTCCCTTGTCCTATGAATTTTTCTTGTCTTCGCTGATTCGAATTGGTTCGAATCTCTTGCTTCATTCTGTGGTATCCAGCGAGGAAGGAAAACTCAGGAAACTGAAGCCATTCGACGACGACTTGGCAGCACTGCACATGAACAAAAGCCACATCAAATTCAACTGGCCCATTTACGTGGGGATGAGCATCCTTGACGTATCCAAACATTTGATGTAGGACTTTTACTACAACGAGATGAAGAAGCAGTACACGGATTCCCTGCTGATGGAAATTCGCACCGAGGATGTGTACGAGGACATGAAGAAAATCATGCACCTGTACGACACCAGTGACTACCCGAAAGACCATCCTTTACACAGCCAAGCAAACAAAAAAGTGCTCAGCAAAATGAAGGCCGAATGCCCGGGCACGCCGATGAACATGCTGAGAAGGGACGGACACAGGATATACTGACTGAGAATCAACAAGACGTCGTTGTCTCCCATGGACACGAAACGATGGATCGCGATCGACGGAGTCACCACTTATGCGTACGGACACAAATGCATATTAAACAATTAAAACGCCTAATATACATACATCATGGAGAAAATTTATTACAGCCCACGCGGGTACTGGAAAAGGGCAGACGCCATCCCAAAACTCGCCAAAGCCGATAGAGTCTCAGAAGAGGTCACCAAAGCTTGGCTTAAAAAACAAGCTATCTGGGAAGTCTATCTGACGGCGCATCGGTACACCCCAAGAAGAAAATTCGACATTTCGACGCCAAATCGCGTTCATCAAACCGACCTCCTGTTTCTACCTCACGACAGGGTGAGGCGTAAAACCTACAAGTATGCCCTGACAATCGTTGACGTCGCCAGTCGCTACAAAGAAGCCAAACCATTTGATGATGAAAGATTCAAACGAAGTCGCCAAAGCCTTAGAACGCATATGCAAACGCAGTCGCTTGACCTGGCCTGCCGTATTGCAAATCGATCCCGGACGCGAGTTCATGGGAGCCGTGTCGCAGGTGCTGGCCAAGCACAAAGTCCAGGTGAGACGAGGCGTGGCCAGAGCTCACTGCAGCCAAGCCATCATCGATAGATTCAATCGCACCTTAGCCTCACACCAGTACTCACGGGATTAAATTGATCCCTGAAACAGAAATACGGAATGGGTTGAATGCTTGCCGCGAGTCGTGGCTGCCATCAACATCGAAGTCACCAGACTCGTTGGCAAGAGACCCGTCGAAGACATCAAAATGAAATCTGTCGAATTGTCATCGGCAGCGGCACATCGCGATAAAACAGAGAAAAAATTACCGGACTGGGTCGGTGTTAGGTATTTGTACCAGCTGGGCGAGTACGAGGGAGACAGCAGAAAACGCACCGCCGATTCGATATGGTCCATGAAAACGTACAACGTCGACCTGATAGACGTCAAAGACGGCGAACCGAACTTGTGCTACTTGAAAGACGGGCCAAGTAGACCATTTGTCTAGGAAGAATCACAAATTGTACCTCACGATACAGTGTATGGATCGCCCACTGTTGGATAGTTAAACACAAACTTAGCGCATCATGAATCAATGAAACGAGACCGTTGGCAAGCCTGTAAATCGCGTAGTCTTGGTCATACATTCCTGTAAGACATACATACCCAGTCAGCCAGCCAGCCGAGAGAGGTGTACAGACACACGCACGGCTCTTGGACCAACGGACTCCTTCGCCACAGCAATCGAGTTCGCTCACAGTGTAGCCAGCCAGCCAGCCAGCCGAGAGATGTACAGACACACGCACGTCGCTAGGACAAACAGCGGTGAGCCGGCTCAGTGTAACGTTTGTCAGAGACGGCCGACCGTGTATTCCCACAGCTTACCAGAACGACTGCCTTCACACTCGGAGTTGCCCAACGACCTTAACGAGCGTGGTCGCCTATACGTCGGATAGTTAGCCTTTCAACAGACCCCATGCTCACTTAAAAGTGGATATTTCATAAACTATTCGACTGATTGTCGTGAAAGTTTGCATGCACCTCCAGTAGTAGTAGACACAATAGCGGAACGGGATAAGGGCCTGGAGGGACCTGGCCCCGTTCCGCTATTGTGTATACTACTGTTGTCAAAGCGTCAATGGTAGAATACACCGTGACCTTTATCACATTTGACATTGTAATATTGACTGCAGTTTGTATGGTTGAGTCATCACTATCATTAGTGAAATATTGCAAATGATCTAGCCCAAGGCTACAAAAGATATTATTTTGTTGAGACTTACCAAAAGTATTGGTCGGTTTAAAATTTATATGTATCCACTGGGATGAACGAGAGTTTTATCAACAGAAAAAATGTATTCCATGTACAACTTGCAGAAGAAAAACGAGCACATTGATGTGAAATATATGGTTCTATGCAGTCAAGTTGTTCCAATATATTCAAACTGTCAGTGAAACAGTGTTTCATATTTAGCCTGTCCTAACGGGAAGTACGGGTTGAACTGTGTGGCACAATGCGGTCACTGTAACGGGAGCTGTGACGTTGTGGACGGGAGATGTCTCCAGGGATGCACACATGGATACAGAGGTCCTCGCTGTCTCCGTGTTATAGGTAGAATACAACATACTATGTTTAACTGTGTAACATTCATCTTAGTCAGGTGTTCTTGGCGATCCATCACGAGGGATAAGTATTTCAATTTCAAAACATTTAAGGATCTTTTTAATGTAAATTCACAGTCATGTAATCATTTTAGTTTTAAAAAAAAGGTTGCCAGATATATGTTGATGGCAGTTGTGTAAAAATACAAATGTTTTGTAATTGATAGTTTAAAACAACAACTGAAATTGTTAGTGGCTGTATCATCAAAAGGGGTTAACGTATTGTAAAATTATTGTCCTCCTGAGAGAGTACGTGAGTCCCAAAACTTTCAAAGTAAACTTGGCACTACCGGGTTTTTTTCAATCGTAGTTTATTTGTTGTTTTAACAAGTCGCGAAAATTCAGTACTATCACCAGCAGCTGAAGGGATGGTGTAAATCCAGCTAGTGTCCATGCAGGAAGCAAACGTACAGTAAGTCCCCATCGTCCCTAGTATGGTGACCTACCTTCAGTTGCTGGCCATATTCAGCCCGTTTTCATTTTGTTTTGTCCAGATCGAAATCCAATTTTAGAGGTAAATGCTCGTTTTAATTGATGTGTCTGTGATATTCTAGTTGCTTTCTGTCCTTCGTCGACAAGTTTTAGTCACGATATGACTGAAATACTGCCGATGTGACTATAAACTTTAAGTCTCTCACTCACTCTTCTCGGCGACATAAGAAACAATTCTAAATGACAGTGGTACTATGATTATAACAAAAGTCATTATGATTGAATCATTTGGAAGAGCCAATCTGATTTACATTTTCAGAATCAAAGAAGAAACTTCCCAACAAAATGACCCATTCGTTTACAAAGATAACCGGTCTAGGTGTTCTCATTGGTGGGCTTGTTGGAGTGGCGCTGACACTTATCTTAGCGCTTGGAGTGTACCTGTGTTTACATTGTAGACCATGCAAGTAGGTGTGCAATAAAGTGATGACTATACATATAAACATAAACATGTATGTGTGAATTAAAATATATTGAATGTGGCCTTAACATTTGTTTGTTCTGTTGTACAGGAATCACAGGTCTGTGAAGGAAGAGGAAACTAAAGACACAGATAAATCGCTGACTGAAGTCACTGAAAAATCGCTGACCATAAACAAGAGAATCGAGACCTGTGTCTAGAACGTTATGAATGCATTTACTGGCAGGGATTAGGACTGCGATAATCCACCAGGAACTGACGAAATGTTTCAAAATCACAAACCATACATTCTATGTTAAATGATAACTATATCTCCGCCCGGTGATCGATAACAGTATAGTCAGAGTGTATTCCGTCAGCTATGCTTTGCGTCGGTGAATGCTTCATTTAGATAGTATCTTTTCTCTGACTGGAACCACTAAGTGCCATTTAGTCTCTTGCTGCATGCACTTCGTTGTAAGGCACAGTGCTAGTTTTGATACCATGGCAAGAGGAGATCCAGCGATGTTGAGGCCAGCACAAGATAACTAAGCGAAGTGCTTCAAATCCTATACCCTTCCTATTAACTGTGTGTTTTAATATTTTTGTATAATATATGGGTACTATGATTGATGAAGAGTTTTCTCTTTCTTTAAACTCTCACATGGGTTACGATATATTTGAGCATCGCATTACTACCAACCGCGTTGTAATGTCGGCTGTTAAATTGCCAATCTTATTTCATAGTGTTTCCCTTAAAGGACACGGGTCCAGTGTACTATATGTTATCACTTGAAGTACAGACCTCTATCGTCTTACCGAGTCATTGGGATTATCTAGACAATGTACAGAGATCCAATCCTTACAGATAGGAACTTGAGGTGTGATAAGTAACTACTGTAGTGTCGTGCTGAGATATTCTATGTGTATTGGTTCGTGCTTTATATCTAAAAGGGATATTTTAAATTCCGTGATAATGCTTGTTTAATTATCTTGTACTGCAGGAACGGGAACGACTCGGTTCTGCCGTCGTTGTAGTTGATTTTTTTTAACCGACATGGCTCTCAGCAGCGTGCAAGGCCTTTCGCCTTGAATGTTATCGGTCGTGCTTATCGGATCGAGATGATCGAGGTTTGTGGTGGTATATCGTTCGACGTCAACGGGACAATTCTGTCCAGAGGTCAGCCGAGTCTCACGATGTCTGTCCCATTGTTCAATGGGTCCATTGTGTGGTGGTCTGCCTTCAGTTGTTGGCGATCTATAGCCAGTGTTTATATTGTACTGTTGCCTATAGTGATATATTAATGAGAGCGTATTAGTTTTAACTTAAGAGCTGTGATATTCTAATAGTTTTACTGTCCTTCGATGACAGGTTCTATTTTCTCAATTTATTGTTCTTTATATTAATAGAAATTACATTGTTTTCGTCACGATATGGCTGAGATATTGCCGTTGTGACGTTAAACATTCACTCACTCACTCACTCACTCATTGTTCGATAGCATGACCATGCCGTTGGAATCGTTCAGTTCGGCTCCCAGAGATTTGAAGATTTCGTCTTTGAGCGAGCACACGCTGTAATAACCGTCGCTCAGTAGGTGTCGCCTATCGTTGACGAAGCGCTTCTTGTTGGTGTTGGCGATGTTGGTAATCAGGGGTAATATGTCATATCGCGCCGAGCGATCTCGAGTTGACCCGACGTGACATTGATCGCATGCAGCAGTTGAACGGTCCCGCCGCTCTTTATTACCGGGTGTGTAATAAACATGTTAAATATGTATATTGACTACAATATAAATTCAACATGAGTGATGTGCTGACGAATATGGAAATTGTGGTGGATGTGGATGGAACGAGTTTTAAAACGAAATGATAATGGTCTGCCTGTTTCACCAATATAGCTCTCTCCACAGTCACATTTAGTTTATATACACAGCCTCTTGCGCAGATCGATGCTCTTGCTGTTGATCATTGGATTGTCTGGTCCAGACCCGATTATTTACAGAATTTATTTGTTACTACACTTGCAAGACGCGCAAGAACAATCTGTAACCCTGGCCTACTGCAGCAAGAAGTAGACCACATGAAGACAACATTCATCACATACAATGGTTGTCCAGAGAACCTTGTAGAAACCACCATAAAAAAACCACTACAATTGAGTGAGTGAGTGAGTGAGTGAGTTCAGTTTTACGCCACACTCAGCAATATTCCAGCTATATGGAGGCGGTCTGTAAATAATCGGGTCTGGACCAGACAATCCAATGATCAACAGCATGAGCATCGATCTGCGCAATTGGGAACCGATCACATATGTCAACCAAGTCAGCGAGCCTGACCACCCGATCCCGTTAGTCGACTCTTATGACAAGCATGGGTTACGGAAGGCACAAACTAACCCGGATCTTCACGGATGAAAACACTACAAGATCAAGTTCAGCGTCTTCCGAAACCTGAACTATCTCCTATCCACATCAAACATCCCGTATGTTGGGCCCTTCAGCCACCAAGTCAGCAGACTTCTAAAGACAATGGCCAGCATTGACACAACATTCTCGTCTGGCAAAACCCTAAAAACTTTGTTAAAACAAATTGAAATTATCGTGAGTGCGGAGAATTTCTTGGTGTCCGCAGCACATCAACCAACACAGATTCGCTTTATTTCATCACATATAGAACTTTTCTTGCAATAACGGTTACTGCTGTGTTGTTAGGACTGGTTCCATGATATCGGGAGACGGATACTAGAACATATTTATATTATTACATATCTATATATTATTGTTTGGGCGTATGTTGCTTAACGCCGCACTCAGCAATATTCCGGCAGTATGGCGGCGGTCTGCAAGTAATCGAGTCTGGACAAGAATATCCACTGACCAACAGCATGTGCATATCAATGTACTAAGTTAATTCAGTGTGTTACGAAGAATGCTTGGTTTCAGTAAGATACAAGACCAACATGCATTAACTATGTGTAGGTGATTTCGACGTCAGTTGCTTCGGAATTTCTGTCACGTTAGTTTAATTAAAAGTCAGAGTCAGTGTGATAGGGCTTCCATTGCCAAAAGGCATGATTCAGAGAAATAACAAGCAAATTAAATATTAGTATGCTAATGCATAGATAGATTCAGTGTAGAATACAGTGATGGTCCTAATATCGACAAAAGTTCAAATAAAGGATACTGAGAAACGTGCATATGGAATGTTGATCGACTACTGTTTCCGGGTCACGGGAGCATATAAGGTCAAACTGGTTCTGTGATGTGCCAATTATACAGTCAAAAACACACACAAAAATTCTTATGAGCTATGATTAATCATTCTTAACAGTGATTTGTGTTAAATTTGGGTTTGCCAGACGAAATATCTCCAAATCTACTGTTACTATTCAATAACGAATGAATTTTTACCAGGCAATTCCTGTCTGTGACATCACATCCGGTGACCTTTGCAGTTACCAGAAAACAAGTTAGATTTCGCGATCTTAATTTTCGTCTTTCCCTCGTCATATTAAACTGAAAATGATAAATGAAACACTTGTAGAATGAGAAATTTCTTCCTCTTTCGCCAGGGCCTATACATTAATGTCCTGTAATATTTGTTCTCATGAAAATAGCAATATTTTATGTAGGGGTTGGACGAAGCGCGCCATGTTTGTTTTCCGTACGTGTAACACGATGCAACACCTGTTTTCTGTGGGTTTGTGTCGAAAATGATGAACCATAACACTTGAAATTAGGATACGTGAATGTCCATAAATCATGTATCTATTCTGCATTTTCATGACATGACACGTTGGAATAAACATATTAGTATCATTTGCATAAAACGTGATGACATCGAAAATATGATTTGTTTACGACGAACGTTTTCGATTTTTTTTTCAGAAATGTTTTTTTAATTTGTCGTCGCGCTGATATTTGCGGATACAAATTACGAATTTAAAGTCAGATAATTATTAGATATCGGAAATAAGAATATTGGAATCGGTTTGCGGTAATTTAACGATTTATTCGGTTGCTGTTATGAAACGCATTCGACCGTCAATCAAGTAATGACGGAAGATTTACATTATTTATGTTTGCTTTGTCATTAACCTCTGTATGTTTGAAATTATCAGGATATTTTGGGATAATAATGTTCGTGTTTCAGTTTAGTATTAATATGCCAAATATTTTTTTTCAGTTGTCCTTTATTTAGTGACACACCGACTGTTTGAAATCACCCACCCTTTTAACAACGCCATATTATACTGAAATTTATTCAGCAGGCTAAAGGTTAAGTGACACGTTTTTGCACAACATTTGATGCGCCAACTAAATGTGTCTGACCTGAATTTATATCTGGGATTAAAATCTGTTGGCACATATGACTCCATTTGTGTATAACAATACTTTCTAGCTACCTTATCTTTGAAAATCAATGAATGTGCTATTTTTCGGCACAAATGTTCATTTCAATCATGGAAGGAGATCATGTGGTTGCAATTCCTTTCCTACTCCATCAATATACCTTAACTCAAATTACCTAGCCAAAGATTCCGGTTTCCAAACTGTTGCGAAAAGTGGTCGTACCTTACTTAGACATAATCCAAATTAATAGCAAGTCATTTTACCATTCAATGAAAATGCCGAAACAATTTCCGTTGCCCCTGTGTTAATATACATGAAGATGTAAAACAGATGTGAAGGTGTAAGCGTACAAGCTAACCTTAAATACCAAGAAATAGTAGTTTTGGAGATATAAATAATTAAATAGACACGTCACCGTGTCCTCCAATGTCTATCAAGTTTCAAACAACTGTATACAACCGTTCCAACGAAACATTTATGAGTCAGACAAATACACGTATTAATGAAATAGTTGCTAGCATATCTAATACCATATACATATGATACCTGACAAGACTGATCCCATGATTATCTTGGCTGAAAGATGAGGAATGATTGGTTCAAATGGATCACCTGACAGGCAGTGAGTTATCGAGTCCATTCTCGTTGATTGCTGCTCTGTTTTGCGTTTGACCGGATCTGATTCGTTTCAATATTTACAGGTCATCGTAATATTTTCACAATGCTATTATACCTATGATAATGAGGAAGCTGTACACACAGAGTATCATACCCACTATACCCCCTTTGGTGATTCTACCAGGAATAGTAGTTGCAACTAAATGTTTCATGGCAGAAAGAAAATATTTACACTGAAAACTTTAGCTGGTGAAAAGCTTGAGCCTTAACCGCGTTCGACGCCTGAGTACGGGCAATGTTTCTAGATGGAACTTCTTGTCATCCAAATCCATACGTCCTACATTCACATCATCATGTGGACAACATTAACGTAGGTGTTACTTGCAATGACAATTGCCAATCTCATTGTACCTAAGGTGATGCTTGTAACGCACGTTACCAGCATCACAACATGGCGTTAGACAGGATCGCTTGGCGATTATTCCCTTCAAATTAGCAGTCTTCCACGTGTATACACGCGAGGATGTCGGTAACTCAAAAGTCTGGATGTCGGTAACATGCAATGAATGATGCTGGTAACACATACTGTCCTGCTTATTAATGTCTATGTGTTGAAGAATAAGCATTTTCTAAATCGCGTAAGCAACAACTCTCCCGTGCACAGAAAAAGTCGCTCATACTGTTAATGTAGCAGCAGTACACATCTGTGTAAAACATAAGAACTGACATAAGTATCTCGTTCGTATTTCTATTTACCGACAATTTCTGTTTACCGACTAAAGCAGGACAGTATGTGTTACCAGCATCATTCATTGCACGTTACCGACATCCAGACTTTGAGTTACCGACATCCTCGCGCGATTTAGAAAATGCTTATTCTTCAACACATAGACATTAATAAGCAAATTCAGTGCATTCAATGTACTCACACCATCAAAGTGTATCAGTGTGATAAATAAAGTTGATTGTATACACGTGGAAGGCTGCTAATTCGAAGGGAATAATCGCCAAGCGATCTTGTCTAACGCCATGCGATGCATGAAGCAAATATTTGTATTTGTGGAACACGCTTCAAAAACAGCCAAGATGACTTTATGTCATGATTCAGTCAGTTAATGATATATAAGGCACCGCTTGAACAACTGACGAATGATCTTATTATCAACAATAGAGAAGCAGAACATTCTCCAGCACACAAAAGACACATGACAATGTGTTTGTGGTTCGAACAACCATGGGGTATGTCTATTTAACCTTATCATGTAAGGAGGACACATCTCGTTATCTATGCATTTCATCTGTTACCTGACACCAAATCAACAAGGTGCTAACAGAATGTACAGAAGGAAAACACAACAGTAACATAGAAGTTTTTATAAAAGCAGTGAAAATAACATGTTTACATGTAAATTAGCTTTTAGATGATAGTATATGCAATTCAGATACAATATAATGGGAACTGGAATATATGACCAGATGACGAGGCTATGTACTGAGTGTGTATAATCAGAGAATGCTGCACAGGACACGTGGAATGGAAGGTTCCGACAAAAGAGTAACACAACTGTTACTTCTACAACATTTGCATCTATGTTGTTTTCGATTCAAATCAATTTCTTTATTCCAACAAACCACCATCAGTGCTACAGGAACAACATTTGACAGTATAAATATTAAATAGGTAACATGTGATCACTTAGGTAAACAACTATATTACAATTTGACGGTTTCATTTACAATCCGTATAAATTTTGATAGAGATATTATGGTACAGTACTTACAGGTGGACAAAAGGTTTTTAACTTTTTTAAGATTTGGCTATTTACAGTAATAATCTTTAATATAGATAGATCTGCTTTTATCAAAGTACGAACATTTAAACAAATAATGTAACTCGTCAGCTATCAGTGGGGAATTACATAAATGGCACTTTATTAACTGTTTAGGTATTTTTTTCAGCGACCGGCCTCTTCTGGTAAATGATGATTAGAGGTTCTAAACCGCACTATTCGGTTTGGAATATGTTGTGGGAGAAGCAAATATGGTTAGAAAGTTGGCTTATACTTCCATAGTTCATACATTCATAATACATGCTTTTAGAGCCAGTGTATATAGTTTCATTCCGTTTTTTGTATAAACTGATCTTTTAGCGTGGATTCTACTACAAAGATCACCCAATGTCTTGTCACGGAACTAGGTTTTCAATAATACAGGTTAAACCAGAGTTATCTAAAATACTCTTAATTGACTTAACTACGCATTATTGTGATAGTGAGTGAGTGAGTTATTATTTAACGTCACATCGGCAATATTTCAGCCATATCGTGACGGCATTATTGTGATAAGGTTTGAGGGTGTTATCTACCTTTGTAAGTTGATACAGAAATGATGATAACTTAAATGGATAAATAACAGTTTCAAGGTCATACCAGAAAGCAGTGACTCATATAGTGAGTGAGTGAGTTAATATCTAACGTCACATCGGCAATATTTCAGCCATATCGTGACGAGAACACTTGACATTGAAATAGAATATATAAAGAGATTATAAAACCTGCCGACAAAGGACAGTAAAGCTACAAGAATATCACAGATTTATATGTAAAACTAATAATTGAATCTAAAACATTTTAACCATAGGGGACAACACAATATAAAAATGGGCTATAGATCGCCAACAACTGAGTGACTCACATATGTTTGAAGTGCTGTATATGTAAAAGTAGACGACGTAAGCTTGCGAGTTTGGGCTTCAGTGTAATTGATAAGTTAAATTATCGTCACGTTGCGGGAACAACAATCCATATTATAACACATGTTACATTTGTCTACCTTGTAAATGGCATTGTGTGTTCATAGACGTGTTGCAGAACACTGGAATAGAATGAGCTGGCACAGAGATAATTTCCGTGCATCAATACACATTCATATATAACATACTTGTTACCTATAAGCCTGCCGTTGCGTTTGAAGCTAAGGTTACAAATACAGAGGCAATGCCTCTATGTGACGTAGTGACATGTTCAGACACTGGAAAAATCTGTGTTATGTGGGTCTCTAGCTTGGTGAGTTCGGATGTTGGCATAGGTATTAGCAGGGTCTGTCCTCTGGATACATTGCTGCGCAAAGTCATGAAACATTTGCACATCACTCTGAAAAGGGAAAACAAATCCATGTTATTCTGGGATCATTTCTTTATGCGTTGTTTCTCAAGTATGATTTCAGTTCATCTCAGATTTATGTGTTTATTATGGTGCATTTTTCAACTTCCTCCTGATCTGATGTTCAACAATCGGACGTATATATGCGCAAGAAATGTATACAAATTAAAAGTAGATTTCTGTTTCCACCACAAGCCTTTTGTAGGCTATGTAACATTTGGAGTTAAGTAAAATCAATGTTTCGACAACACATACAATAATACTATTGAATGTATACAAATACAATCAATCACCGTTGTCTCAAAGGGAACTACGTAACTACTTGGAGGTTTGACACAACCGCAAATTGATGACCAAAAAAGGAAGACAACGACGTTCATCTTTACTTCGGGACAACCTTCAGTTCAAGACAACGACGTTCATCTGTACATGGGTGAACTTGTACCTGGGTGAACTGTAGCTCAGGGCAACATCGTAGGAACATCCTCACGTGACCGATGACGTCAACACGGGTGTCTTCACGAATACCAGACAGAATATTACCCATGATGCAGAGCGAGACAGCAAGTTTTCCGTGTTTTTTGCTGCAGTTCAAAACGTTACGTGTTATTTATATTCTTGATTGTTAGTTGTGTTTACTCCAGTCAGGAAATGTGTCTGTCGTACATTAGATCGGGTTATGTAATAGTATACAATTAACTATTAGAAAAATGCTTCTTTGCTCATATATATATAAAGGTGATAAATGTACTATGTTGTCAATATATCAACTCGCCTATAGTGTACCTAATTTTTATTTCAATCGATTTAACATTCCCATGCATTTAATGGGCAGTTTACAGGAGAGAATTTGATACCAAAACAACAACTTAAGATTTTTTTCATAGTTCAACAACAGAAATCTGAAATAGTCTTTAAATTTATGCAAATAATACAGGTGGTGTAAAAATATGGTTTAACGTTTTTCTAAAACAAATAGATGTTGAATGTTTGTGTTACTTTACTTAATCATTGTTTCTTTATTGGAGAAATATTAATATAAATGTTAAGTTTTGATAAATAAGTTTCCCGTCATGCATGCACATCTTTATCACAGCGTCCACTATGGCCAACTATTTGTAGTCGATTGTTGCAAAGGTTTATAAGTTTTATTGTGCTTGAAAAAGACAGAGGTAAACCTTTCATTAGTTTAGAAAGGGTTTATTACAGAACTTTTAGAGCTGTTGGTATGTCTTCCCAACAAGTTTACAATATTATAAACAAATCAGACAAGACAGGAACCGTCTCAAAAGCAAAACCGGGACGCACAACCATCCTTGACAACTTTGACAAGGGAGTACTTAGACGGGCGGTCTACAAACTTTAGAATAATAATAATATATATATTCAAAAGAACCTACACCAGTGATTTCGTTAAATCTTTGGCTAATGTTCACAACTAGATTAAACTGAATGAATTACATCCATATTTTAGCAATTAAATATACTGTTGACTTGCAAAACATTTATTAAAACGTGTTATTCTACAATCAGTCGATAAGATAACACAAGTGATAGGATTCTTTCCAATGTACAGTAATTCGTATGTTTATTTCAAAACAAACACACATACACAAATGACCCCTTACATAACCAATACTTATACTATACATACACATATTTAACATTTGGAAAAAAACATCTATTGAGATGACCCCTCGCCCGAGCGTGTGCTCTGGTGTCAATATCACCTGTCGATACCGTGGATGCTGATGACGTAACACAGGCAGTTAATGTTTGTATCAAATAACGTCCCACTACCCCTTACTTTTCTAAGTTTTTGATATTTTCATCAGTAAAAACATATTTTTGGGCATGTCTCAAAATTTATTCCCTCGGTCTACATTAGGTAGATGTTTCTCAAAGTGATATTTGTTATTTAAGTAACTGTAATACCTATGAACTTTTAATATAAGTCAAAAAGCATTTTTCTAGCATTTCCGACAGTACTTTAGGCATCTCCATCCATTAGATTGGCTAATGAGTCACACCACTTCAAACACTCAAGCAACCGGATATATACACACAGTGTCAATCATTGTAACATAATTGGACATGGATTTCCGGAAGTATGTCTATTGCTAAGCACTACTGAGGGATATGTTATCATTCTATCAACATGTTTGATGTGAAACGGAGTATAAACAGGTGCAAACTTCGATTACTTTAAAACTTAAAATATATATGATAATCAATTTATGACCAGAATAACAATACAATTTACTCATAGATTATTACATTTAGGCAAGTGAACATATACGGATTCTAACATCAACGAAAACCTTCAAAGAAAATTGATAATTCTGGAGGCAGTCCTACCTGTGAACGACAACAACAGGGGTGGTCTGAGTTGAGATGTCTTGCAGGTCCACGTGGTTTAACAAATGCGATATCACAGTTTCCATGGTCAGTTGGGCATCAGCGTTGACCATCTTCACCCTCCGTGGCCTGCCTCCCTGTGTTACAGGTGTGAAGTAATGCTAGACAAAAACACCCTAGTGTCCTTGGAATACTTCTACTATTGTGTTGTGTAATATGTCCCATATTAAAAGCCTATAAATCACCTGCATATGAGGACAGAAAGGAATGAACTCACATGCATGTATATTGTCTTGATCATTATGTGCAATATTAAAAACTTGTATTTTTGTGTGGAAGGCAGCATCACTCTTATCTTGTCAAATACTCGTATTGACGGTCCTCATCAAACAGGAGATGTAACAGGCTGTAAATGGCAGTTGTTGTAAATGGCAGTGGCATGCAGACACCTACTAGGGCATTTCCTGACCAACTCGTGGTACTCCGGGACAAGCCGAATAGCGACTCGTGCCCCTCTGGAAGGATTTCATATTGGCGTATGGACATCGGAACTACTTCAATCAAGAACGACAACTTCCTGTTTGATGCCAATGGTACCTAACATCACCGAAGTACTGGCATATTGTATTGATGTTTTTTTTGTTTTTTTTATCTATTTATTCTTTTAAAGAATTGACAATATTGATACAACTAACAAAAGATGAAATAAATGTTTATTTGTTTAACTCATATCCTATGCAATTATTACCAGCGATTCATCATGTATTTCCAAATGAATATTTCTGAATAGAGTTATGAATCAAAAATGGAATTTGTTTTATGGAATATGCTAATAACCTTTTTAACAATTCAGCTTTATGAAAATCCCAAAACAGATACTAAAAAATGACTTGAAACTATTTCACAAACTGAAAATTCATGTAACCTTGATGCCATACCCCTTCTGGAATTTTAAAATGAATACGTTGAATACATTATGAATGACCGCAGAAACGTCTGACAAAAACAAGTTGATTTGATTGGTTATATATTAATATAGTGTTAGAACCTCGTAGTGATTTAAAATTATGACTACTAAAAATGTCAGAGAGCGGACGTGAAATCTCCAAAACAAGTCCCACAAGATCGTCAGAAAAACGCATTCACAAAGACCCACGAGAGCCGTTTGTAAACAGACTCATGTGCGTGTATTTGAATCTCTCACCATTCATGGCATTATTCTTATTAAAAACTTATTATTATTCAACACAATTCTGTTTTCTATGTGTATTGTTCACTGTCAATATGACAATATATGTTTTTTTAATTTTTTCAACCATCACGTAATACCATAAACCATTTAAGTAATCGGGATTATTTTTATCAAAGCACCACAATCATTGCTCGCGTTCTGATTGGTTTGATTGGGTTGCTCATGGCGAGAAGGCCTTACTTTTGTGGCAAGCTGTAGGTTCATCATGGAAAGGTCTACTGCCAGGTTTGTGTGACTCGTTGTCGTCACAGTGATCCCCCCGTGCGTCTTGGACCTGCCCTCTGCTTCAGCTAAGCCAAGCTGAAACAGGAACGTTAAAATATTGAATTCCCTCAGTACTAGGAACATGTATATTACTGGAATGTTGAATAAACAGATGGCAATACCATGTGGCCAGGTTTTACTCAACTTCTGTCACAGTTCAAACATTTAGGTGTCATGAATTAAAGAAAAACTAAGTAAGGTGAAAATATCACCAACAGAAATTAAATAGCTACTGCTTTGGAATTATTATTACCAATTTAGAGCATGAAGCATAAGAGACGAACATCATTCTTTGACTATTGCTTTACCTATTTGAAAAGATTCTATTTGCATACATTTGGTGTGACGACGATGATGTTGTGGACGTTGTTCTCTTCTATCAGTTTCCACAACAACTTCATCAATCTAGAGGGTGGGGCAAGGGCTTGCAGGAACCCCCTCTGACACGTCAGAGTCTATAAAGAGGAATACACATGGCTGCCATGATTCCCACCAGGGAGCCTGTCAGCTGTATTTGGATTCAGCAATGAGAGTTGTACCTATACAGATGTTCCATCAAAAATTCTTTCTCAGGGTTCAATTAAGCAATTAAAATAAGTGTTTATTAAATCAGGTTTATGAGGAATATGGAGTCTCAAGTTATTACTGTAGCATGATGTCCACCTACCGGTCCAACATGCACACTGAATTCAGAGTTACCATCCACCCACATTCTGCGTTTGTTGGGAGTATCTGAAAAGGGTTACAGCACAAACAGTTAGAACATCACAGAACATATAATTGTAGCCTCAACGTTAGGTCTTGGCATCACTATGCTAAGTACCCTATACATGTCGACAAAACTACGGGGTTGGTGTATTTCAATGATGTCATGTTCCCTTCACTTATCCAGAGATCCGGGAATAGAACAGAATTTCGCAGACTTCTACACGTGCCGCCTATTTTACGCACAATGAATGTGTACATGATATACTGGGATTCACACAATGGACTCTGCTACCAGCACTAATGTCTTACGATCACGGAAAGTTTTTATTTCCATTGCTTCCACGATTACGGTCTTATGTATGTATGTATGTGTGTGTGTGTGTGTATGTGTGTGTGTGTGTGTGTGTGTGTGTGTGTGTGTGTGTGTGTGTGTGTGTGTGTGTGTGTGTGTGTGTGTGTGTGTGTGTGTGTGTGAGTTAAAATTCGGCAGTATTTCAGCCATATCGTGACGAGAACAGTTGCATTGAAATAGAATATATATAGATATTATAAAACACCTGCCGACGGAGGACAGTAAAAATACTACATAATCACACATATGAATATAAAACTAGCGAACAAAGCTAAAATATTCCAATTAAAGAAGACAATACAATGTAAAAATGGGCGATAGATCGCCAACAACTGAAGGTAGATCACCATACTAAGGCCCATGGGGACTTACATTTCCTTTGCTACCTGCATGGACCCTAGCTGGATTTACACCATCCCTTCAGCCATTGGCGTTTATACCGATAATTAGCCATACCTTAAAATGACAAAAATACTACGATTAAAACACCTGGTTTACTTAAATGTACTTGAAATGTTTTGGGACTTCCGTACCCTCTCAGGAGGACAATAATTTTACAATACTTCAACCCCCTTAGAGGGTACAGCCTCCAACAATCTAAGTTACTAATCAAATCTACCAATAATAAAAATATAGATATGTACAGAACATATTTATCAAAATTCATTAATTAAATCAATTTCTTTTAAAAAAGGAAAAATTAAATGAACATGAACTGTACTAAAAAGATCCTTAACAGTTTTAACATTAAAATATTTATCCCTTATGATGGAGAATTCAACACAGTCAAGCAGGACATGCTTGACCGTGGTTCTCTCATCACAGGGGATACAAAACGGAGGATCCTCACCTTTCAATAGGTACGCATGAGTGTATCTAGTGTGACCAATGCGACATCTTCGCATGATGACCTCCTCAAATCTGGACTGACAACCCAAGTAAGTGTAACCGATACAGGGTTTTATTTCATGTAATTTATTGATACCTACTTGGGTGTCCCACTTCTTCTGCATCAGATCACGGATGTAAGTTCTAATGCTAGCTTTGTAATCAGAGTATGGGATCAGAAGTGGTGTCACAGATTTGTGGAGTGCTGCCTTAGCAGCAAGATCGGCCATTGTGTTCCCAGAAATGCCAACGTGGCTGGGCAACCAACAAAAGACGATGTCGCATTGGCCAGTAGCAAGATCATTATGCAATTCAATAATTTCTAATAAAAGTGTATGTTTACAAGAAATAATTTTAATAGCCTGAAGGCAAGAAAGTGAGTCAGAAAAGATGATATATTGTTGATATTTAGGGTGTTTTTGAACATATTGTAAAGCTGTTAAGATGGCGTTTGCTTCTGCTGTGAAAATAGAGCTGTTATCTGGTAAACGAGAGGAGATTGTTCTGGATCCAATGACAGTGGCACAAGCCACCGCGCCACCATCCTTGGACCCATCTGTAAATAAGGATTTGTATGTATTATATTTATTCTTTAATTGATTATATTCTTGTTTATACTGTAATTCGTTAGTTTCGGATTTTTTAAACTTTGTCAGTGTTAGGTCAACTTGTGGCCTCACTAATTGCCAAGAAGGAGAAGAAAGAAGACGGGAAGGAGATATATTCTCCAACTCAATGCCAGCAGGAGAAATATATTGTTGGATTCTTATCCCAAGAGGTGGGACAAGTGAAGGTTTTTTATTATACAAATCCTCATAAAGAGGATTAAAAACGCAAGTGTGAGCAGGATTGGATTCATTAGAATATAACTTTGTGATATATTGTAGGGACAATTTGATACGGCAAAGTTTTAAAGATGGCTCATCGGCCTCAACGTAGAGACTGTCAATGGGAAAGGTTCTGAAAGACCCAAGACAACGTCTTAGACCCTGGTGATGGATAGAATCAAGTAGTTTGTATGTTTGTGTTATGTATGTTTGTATGTATGTATGTATGTATGTATGTATGTATGTATGTATGTATGTATGTATGTATGTATGTATGTATGTATGTATGTATGTATGTATGTATGTATGTATGTATGTATGTATGTATGTATGTATGTATGTATGCTGAAAGCCATTAAAAAGGCAGTTGGTATTTGTTGTCCTGAAACTTACAAAAGTTCTATTGAAGATTCTTTCCTGCGATACAGAGGATGATGTAAGGATAAAAGGCTGTGATTCTTAAAACCGAACCTTTGACATTTCTCGTAAACACAACCACATTCATGAAACACGTTGTGCACATGCATTACCTGCACCCAGGCCCTGTAAAAGCACAAGGAATTGTGGAACTCAATCACTTTGAGAAAATGCCACACTTGACACAAGACGAAAGGAATCAGGTTATCGGTATGGTCAGCCAAGGTGCTTCAGATGTGATGATTGCCAGGCACTTTAATGTGCATCCATCCACTGTAAGTGGACTCAGACAACGTTTTCGGGCTACCGGAAGTGTTGCTGATCGTATCGGTGCACCACCTGTGATAACAGCTCGACAAAACCGCAGTGTCCGAATTTCACACTTGCGAAATCGGTTCCAAACAGCTGATGATTAGGCAAGGAGAACAATTGGGACAAGTCAACGTCATTTCAGCGCCCAAAAGGTGCAAGGACGCCTTGCTGCCTTCAACATCCCATGTCGTCACCCGTACCGTCGTCCAACCTTATTGCATCGCCACAGACTTGCCAGACAGCGATGGGCAGCAAATGGGGCCAATCCTGACAACAGGACATGTCCACATGTCATTTTTTCGGATGAATCCAGGTTTTACTTATCCTTTGCAGATGGACGTCAACAGATTTATTGACGTAAAGAAGGACTTGCGCCAAACTTTGTCCTTAATCATGATCGTTTCGGAGGGGGTGGTGTCATGATCAGACCATCAGAGGCTGCAGACCATCCAACAGCTGTTCCTGAGAAATGTGTGTCTTTCAATGCCCCAAACACTGCGATGATGTCTTGCAGCGCACGGTGGACACACACGATATTGACTGCAAGTGACCCCTCCTTTTTTTAATGTCGTTGTTGCGTCACTGATGTTGTTGACTGGACATTTTCAGATGAAATTATTCACAGATGTTCACTTAAAATCAGCCAGTTAGGTTTATATATGTTGAAATTAGTGTGAGTAAAGAAATTATAAATGTCAAATTGCATTTTTAATGGATTTCAGTATATATATACCGAGAATACCGAGCGTACAGTAGAATATATACGGTAGTACTTATATAAGAAGAAGTTTCTGAAATAATCCGTGTCATGTGATTATTTCAGAAACTTCTTCTTATATATACTGAGACAAAAAAGAAACTTCACAAAATGTTATTTGAAAAATAATGAAAACATTTACATCTACGTATCCGAAATGAGATCCCTATCTTTCGACTTTAGAAAAACGTTAGCAAAACCCACTAAAACCCATCCATTCCTCGTGCAAATGACGTTAGTGCCAAATCAGGTTTTGCACGTGCAGTCGATCATGTGATCTTCGCATCGAAGTTTTCTTCATATGCACGTGTTTGCATTGGCCTCAAGAAAAAACACTTTTAAACCACAGTTCTAACGGTACTTGAAATGCCACGATTGTCAAATGTGCAACGTGAACATGCCGTTGGCATGTTGCAAGTGGGACGATCAGTTATTAACGTCGCAAGAGCAATGGGATGCAGCCGTCGTACTGTGTATGACTTGCGAGGTCGTCTACAACAAACTGGCACCACTTCTGATCGCCCAAGGCCGGGTCGTCCATGTGTGACGTCACGAGCAGAAGACCGTCAGATCGTCCTACGTCACCTACGTGACAGATTTCTGCCGGCTACACGAACCAGGGCTGAAATGTTTAGAGGTCGACTGTCCTCACAGACCATTCGAAATCGGTTGCGGGCTGCCAATCTCCATTCTCGACGTCCATATCGTGGGCCAATATTGACGCCGTTTCATCAACGTCAACGTCTGCTGTGGGCCCAACGTTACCTCCTATGGACCCAGAGAGACTGGAATCGATTCGTCTTTAGCGATGAATCAAGGTTTACCCTCACATTCGCGGACGGCAGGCATAGAGTCTGGAGACGACGTCGTGAACGGTATGCCCAATGTTGTGTACAGGAAGTCGACAGTTTCGGGGGCGGAAGTTGCATGGTGTTGTGTGCTTTCTGGTCATCCGTGGAAACCTCACAGCTGCTGCTTACCGCGAGCAGGTGCTCAGCCCTGAACTCATTCCTTTCATGGCGGCTCATGGCCCAGGTCTACAGCTCCAACATGATCATGCTCGGCCACATACCGCAATGTTGACAAGAAATTTCCTTCAAAACGCTGGAATCAACGTCATTGACTGGCCATCGAGGTCCCCTGACCTTAATCCAATAGAGCACGTTTGGGATGCACTTGGGAGAAGGCTTAGTGGTCTTAGGAACCAACCTCAGAATTTGCAGGAACTTGGCGCTGCCTTGCAAGAGCAATGGCGCAGAATCCCCAACCACGTGTTCACAAGCATCAGGCAGTCGATGAGGAGACGGTGTTTGGCAGTGGTGAATGCGCGGGGCGGCCATACACGATATTGAACTGAGAAATGTCGCATTTTTATTCTTGTGACTTGGCATTCTGTATACCCATGTTTTGGAACGGCGGTGTAGCCTAATGGAACTGATTATGGCACTGTCAGTGTATCGAGTACATCACACAGACCTCAGCAATGAAATAATAACAATTTAACCATCTTACCATCTCTTGTTCTTTTATAGTGCCCTGAAGAAAGAATGTGAAGTTTCTTTTTTGACTCAGTATATATATAACATTTTATATATATGTGTATATATATAGTGACTGAAAGAGAAATTATGTATTTTGGGATCACCAGTAACACCATGGAGGTGAAAGATGTTGTATGAGCGTGCATTTCCACTTTTCAGGAAGGCATCAGCCTTAAGTATTGATCAATAAGTATTTGACAATAGTGTACTTACCATCTTGAGTTTCAGACAACAGCATCTGTGCACATGTGCATATATGTATAAAGTATCTAGATAGTTAAAGCTAACTTCAACAAAAGGGAAAATAATGACTTTTAAGAGATGGAAAATTTATGACATTTTGAAAATGGAATTGCAGGAAATGTGGATGACCCAGTTGCAGACTTTGTCTTGTTTTTGCTTCATTCACTATTCATAATTAATGACAGTCAACCATATGCAAACACATTCTTCGGTTTCTCGCTAAACGCTCTCAATGTGCGACTTCAATGAGTGAGTGAGTTACAATTTAACGTCACATCGGTAGTATTTCAGCCATATAGTGACGATAAGAATATTGATTTAGCTATAAGAAATATCTGTCACAAAGGACAGTAAAACATTAGCAAGTGATCACAAATTGAGTCTAAAAACTAAATCATTTCAAAAGATAAACGACTATATTCAACACAAAGATCAATATTACATGTACTGTGATTAAAATACGAACCAAAGACCACCAGTCACCAAAGCTAGACAACCTTACGGGGGATCATGGGGACTTACTGACCTGAGACAACTGTTTGAGAGTTCGTCCGTCAACCGTGGTGTCCATGCCGCTGTTGCTGTAGCTGGTGGTGAAGCTGGACACGTCCATGCTGGTGCAGCCGAATGTCGTCATCTCTACCAGACAGTGGAAGACACATTCGTACTGGGCCTGACATTGAAAAAGTCAAGACAGTGATGCTGTGGGGCAATATATATGTCGGCAACAAATCACTTCCAAGGTTGCAGCTCAATTTGTAACAAAGAAGTTGCATTTAACACGTCAAAATTTAATTGTGGAAACTCAAAAGCCCAGACACTTGATACTCATAAATATAATTTCATTCATGTACATCCTTCAAAACATAAATCTGGAGCTAAAGTAAACATTCTCGCCCATTAGTTTTCGAGAAAATGTTCATTTCATTTATCATCCTTGGCATAAATTCATAACTGCATGTTGAAATTTGTCAAATCCTTTGTCAGAAACTGGCCACAGTGCGGAGAATTTCTGGAATTTTGGGTTGCTAGAATTATATTGTGACGTGTTACTTCCATTCTGTGTAAATTAGATGCTGATTTTGAAAAACATGTCAATTGTGCCACACAGAACTGAAAGCTCCACCATTTCAAAATAGATAAAGACCGTATATATACGAGTGCTTCGGTGATATTAAGTACCAATGGCATCAAACAGGAAAAGAGTTATAGTTCTTGTTTGAAGTAGTTCTGATGTTCATACGCTAATATGAAATCCTTCTAGATGGCCACGAGTCGCTATTTGGCTTGTCCCGGAATAACACGAGTGGGTCTCGAATGGAACAGTGAGAGATTCAAATTCACTGACGTGCGTTTGTTTACATAACGTCTTTCATGGGTCCAATTTAAACAATATATTAAAATATAAATAATCAACTTTAATTTTTAACATTTTGGCTTACATTTCACATCTTACATTTTTAGTCGGACGTTTCTGGGGCTATTCGATTGTTTTTAGTGTAGTCATTTTAAAATTCCACCAGAGGTGTGGCACAGGGTTACTTGAACGGTTCAAAAAGAGCAATACAGTATACGAGTGCTTCCGTGCTATTAAGCACCATTGGAATAAAGATAGAATAGAGTTATCGTTCTTGTTTGAAGTAGTTATGATGTTAACGCGCCAATATGAAATCCTTCCACAGGGTCAAGAGTCGCAATTAGGAATAACACGAGTTGTAGACGAATGCTTCAAGGTATGGCCGTTTGAAACCTAGTCGCCGAAGTAACAAAAGTGGCTGGCCAAAGCAGGATGGGCTACGCTCATATTTTACTGCCGTATGTTTCAGTATCTTGACGTTCCAATCAAAGAAGACTTTTCGATGAAACGCATAGCTCTAATGTAGTGTCACTTTACGTATGGGTTTCAGCATCCTTAACTCAACCCATGTGTCATTGCTATTTGCGAGAGATGCAGTCACACAGTCATGTTCATGATAAGGTGGGAATCATATAATGGACCTGCTTTTTTAGCATAGATGTCTTACGATTACGGACCGGTTTTGTACAAGTCGGGATAATTTTAATCAAAGTACCGCAATGATTATGCAACTTCAAATTGGTATGTCATATCTTCGCACAGAAACAATCATCGAGAAGAGGACGAGATTACGGTAAAGGGGCTAATGGTGACGAATGGTAACAAGCATTGAGAGGGGGGCGAGTCTTCTCGGAGGGTTCGGAAAGGAGCGAATGGTAACGAATGGGGATGATATATTTTCCAAAAGGTAGGCGCGTCCTGCTTCACACACTCATGGAAACCCGAATACGCCTGCCAAGTCAGCGGGCAGCCTGCCAAAGTCAGCGGTATATAAACTGATAAATACTTGTTGGAAATAAATGTGTGAAGCCAACCTACCGCCGTCTGGATCATGTTCTTCCTCTGCCCCCTCATGACTGTCACGTACCCCAGGACATCCACCACCCCCTCCTCACGGGCCTGGTCTATCAGGGAGTCCACGGCGATGTATGTGCCAGTTCGCCCAATACCCGCACTGAAATACCCATAATGCAAATATTTGACCTGTTCTACCTGTGAAGATCCGGGTTAGAATTAGTCCTCAGTAACCCATGCTTGTTGTATGTGATCGAGTAGTCAGACTCGCTGACTTGGTTGACACATGTCATCGTATCCCAATTTCATAGATCGATGCTCATGATGCTGATCAGTGGATTGTCTGGTCCAGACTCGATTATTTACAGACCGCCCCCATGTATCTGGAATATTGCTGACTGTGGCGTTCAAAACAAACCAACTAACCAAATCATAAGTCTATGTCTTTGCATGTTGAGCCTTCACTTCATTTACCAGTGAGGGGAACTTCTTACCCTGTATACGGCTAGATTACCATCTTACTGAGAACCAAAACTTTCAACTGAAATAAGGATTATCAAATTAAAAAGTTGTTCAGAATAACGATGTTTCAAAGGCTACAATCCAGTAATGTTCGCACGTTAACTGGAGTTAACTAAAATAGTGTGAAGAATCATCAGGAAGTGAATATAGCAGGTCCTCTGTTGCACTTTGTAGTCCGTTGATGTATTCGAATATATTTCCCCATATGCAGTGTTCAAGCAGTGTTCAAGCAGTGGTTCGGTACCTTGTAACTAACTCAGTCCTACCTGCAGTGGTAAAGCAGGGGTTTGCTACCTTGTAACTAAGAAGTCCTACCTGCAGTGGTAAAGCAGTGGTTTGCTGCCTTGTAACTAACTCAGTCCTACCTGCAGTGGTAAAGCAGTGGTTTGCTACCTTGTAACTAAGAAGTCCTACCTGCAGTGAACGAGCAGTGGTCCGTCCCTCTCTGCAACTGTCTGTCTGACCAACCAGATGTAGTGGACGAGAGCGAGGGTGTCAGGTACACCGTGGTCAGGCCATGACGTGAAGTGGAACTGGATGACTGACCGATTCTCTCCAGTCTGTAACAGAAGATGTTGATTGAATTTGTATTAACATGAAAGACAAACTGCAAAAATATGTAGCAATTCATCAGCTATTCCCAGTATAGACCATTTTGTACGAAACAAAGTCATTGAAACATCACATTTTGTCTACTTATCACTGGTTATTTTCAACATAAAGAAGACATAAAATGAATGTTCCGTGCAAATACTTACTGTCTTGGAAGTGACTTTCATGTGTCTCGTTGTAAAGCTCGCACGGACTTGGGTTACATCCACCTCAACTTTGAAGTGATCAGTGTTCATTACACCAGCGTTAGGCCAATACTGCTCACATTTGACCTAAAGTAAAAATAATATGAATATGTTTACAGAATGTCTATTCTTGTAATCAGGCAAAATCGTAATCGAATGTTACATTTTAGTCGACTTATATTTTCAGCAATTCGTTCATATAATTTTCAAGGCTGCTCGCCCAACAGAGGGTTGGTTTTATATCTATGATGTCTACATTCGTAGGATGATGGAGATGATTGATATAACGTGAAATCCTACCTTCACCTCCTCCACCAGACCAGTCAGCATGACCACAGCGCTACAGGAATGTTCCCAAATCATCCTCCAGAAGTCTCCTACTGTGTTCTTGTTAGGAGCTGCAAGTGGTAAACGGTGGCTGATGAATACATTAAACATGTCATTTCTAGGCATATACTATAGAATAATGCAACATCCCTAAAGGTTGGTTTTACTGATATACATTAGACGGCAACTTAGACGGCATGATAACAGTGATCTTTATAACTTCACCACATATCAAAATCAACGCATAAAGTTTATCTCACCTTGAGCTGCTATGTAAGTCTTCGCCTGGTTGTAACTCTGAAATATAGACATGGGACGATTGACAGTTTATTGCTTGTAGCCTCAACTTTTGTTTTCGAGACTCTATAGTCTGGGTCCTGATAAGTTTTGCCTTTAACCATTTTGTTCCTCAGGAAAGGGACGTTCTTAATATCCATGCTTCGAAACCTTGGGGATGTTTTTAATTGGAACGATTCGGCTAATTAAGAGGGTCGTATCCGGGGTCTAAATCCACTAACCGTTCGTAGCGCTACGACATTCGTAAGCCTATGATAAACTTTTGAGGTAATTAGTAAAGTACACACGTGCATGAGACTGGCGTTGATGTAGTCCGAGCCAGGAGTGTCTGGGAGGGGGGTCAGGCGGATACGGTTATGGTCGTCTGAAATAACAAATCAAGTCAGTTAAACCGGTATCCACATATTAGGCGTGGTGGGTGAGCTGGTAAAGGCGCCTGGCAGGTGATCTAGCGAGCTCGAGGTGACGGGGTCGAGCCCACCTGTAATCTGGTGTAAAAATCTTGGAGTCCAATTTGTGTGCAGACTATTTCAGTGTTGTCACAACCCCTAGCTAGTGTACAGTACACAACCTGTGCACTCAAAAGAACCCACAAATCCGTTGGTATATGACCAGATGGTGGCCACATGAATACGTGCAAAACACCTAGTTGCGGGTGCAGCAAAGTGCAGTGAACTTGACAAAGTACTGTGACTATCTGTCACAGTCCACACTCAGCTGTGAACGGGTGCCTCGTAGAGGATAAAAACGCAATAACTCGGTGCATTCTGCAAAGAGTTGTATGTTCCCAAGGGAGTTGAGATTGATAATACGATGTGCCGTTGAGACTGACATCCGGTGATCGAGGGTAAAAAATGTCAGTGCCTTTGAGCATGTACTAGATACATTGATGTGTGCGCCATATAAATATCCTGTAATAATCTTTTATATTCCCGTACATTCACCACTGTCAGCCATACTTACAGGGGTAGTAGCCTCTGAACCTGTTTTTTCCACTGTTCTCGGTCTCTGGGAGTCTTGGTATGTGGCTGTGAATCCAGTCACAAGTCGCTGTAATAAATTCAATTCACGGATGAGATATGTTCTTGTGGAGGGTACTTTGTTTTGCTAAGACAGATTTGGAGACAATATTGTGTCTTTACTATATTGTGAGTGAGTAACTATTAGCAATACTCCAGCAACATCACGGCAGGGGAACATCAGAAATGGTCTTCACCCACTGTACCCATTCCTGGGTCTTCGTCGTGACGAGCGAACGTTAAACCACTAGCCTACCCTACCATTTAGAGACAAACCAAAAAGACAATGCAAAACCACGACATTGCAAAGTGGACTCACGTTATATTCTCTTTCAAACCCATCTTTCCTCTGTTTAAGCATCGCCACAGTTGCAGCAAGTTCAGGCACAGCAACGTCTCTGATGGCGTCTTCGGCTTCTGCGTTGTAGTAACAACTGTCAGGAGGTTGAACTTCCTCGTCCAAATCTTCTTCCTCATGGCCTTCCTCTTCGAACTCAGCTGTTTGCTGGATGCAGCTTGTGGGGCAGGTTTGGGTTTTATAGGTGGCTTCTGGTGGCCTGTTCTGTTCTCATCCAGAACTACGTTTGCCAAAGCGCCATTCTCTGAAAACACCCAGTATGCATTGTATTCTTGATCATAAGAATTGTCGCAATGGAATGTATTGGCCATGTTGGTCTGAGCAGGACTTTGCATGATGCAACTACATCATAAGCAAATAAAAAATGAAAAATAGCTATTAGGTCCCTGACCTAGCGATATTTCAGCAGTTTCTTCACTCGCCTACTCTAAAATTATAACTTGCCCGCAAAGACTGGCCATGATAAAATATTGCCAAAGCACACCTTTAAACTAAACACAGTCTTAGCTTTCCTCTCCATTAATTGCATCTCACAGCTGAAACTATATATTTAACATGTATTGTGTTTCGCTGAACAAAATATTTTCTACATTATGTAATTATATTTGTTTTAGGAGTTTCAACAATCCTTTCAGTGCTCCAACCTTCAGGGCGGAAGTGTGCAGAGTGTTTGGTCACATCGCTATCTTGAAACCTCCGTCTCCTCCTGTAACAGATTCAAGGGGTGTCACAGAGCTGAATGTAACAAACAAAACAAAACACACAGTACAGAAATAACCAAACACAACTAAAGGTATTAACATACACAATCAAAAAGCATGATTTGGGAAATTCAATCACACACCTGGGCATCGGCATGTTATATTTTATTGTTTACATTCTCTACAAGAAATATCCAATGAATATCAAGATGAACATCAAATATAATCATATTTGACGTTTCGTTCTGATTTTCACAAGGTCATGGAATGAAGATCAAAACCTGCACGAAGAATGGATATACAACTCTTATGTATTCCTGTTTTGGTTTCAGACTGAACGGATTGGTTTGAACTGCAAAACTTCATGCTGGTGCCTTTGCGTGTAATTCTTCCTTGTTTTTCAAGTTCATTTTCACAAAGGCTGAGTAGAATGTGTGAACTGTCTAACACTGACTTTAAATGTGGAGAGATGGCTGCTTGATGAAGTGAAAAGAAATTACCTGCCCACAAGAACCACAACAGCAACAACTATGGCAACCACCAGCAACCCTACAACTGTTCCTGACACGGCTGGTACCAAAACATTTGATGACTGCATTTTATTTAAAGGAGCTGAAAACATATTAATAGAAACTATACCAGTACAATTTGTTTAAGGTGTTGAAGGTATACTTTAAATTCAGGCATAAAACACAAAATATATACAGCATTGGGTACGTTTCTATGTAAATACAATATACGGAGAAGAATGTCATGTGACGGGAAGCCTGTTTTACTTCGGGCAAGGAAAATTCTTGGTTAGACGTGACCGTAAGAATTGAGATAACTATAATATTTCAAGACAGCTATTTACATCATCATACATACAGGCGTTTTGGAAATTAAGAATTATAAATGTACAGACATAGCAAAGGGAAAGTACTTTGAAGCAGAATTCAAAGGGAACCTGAGTATACAGGGAGTTCGCGGGTAGGATGCGACCAGAACACAGGTAAAACTTTGATCTGGATCAATTTCAAATCCAGAAAGTCAAACCGTCGTTGTGTTATCCTGGTTTAACAGTTAGTGAAACCATCATACACTGACTAATGAAGAGACATTACCACATTAACACAAAACAACGGCTATAGTGCAACGTGTATAGTACAATAGAATGTTCTTTCCAAAACTCCCACGTGGTCTCACAATGACTATACACAAGATTCAACTGAGATGAGCAAAGTTGATCTGCTTGCAAACTATTTTACCCGCAACAGAAAACACAGTATTGATAAGTGAGCTAAGGTTTTCTATCAATGTAACAAGAGGCTCTTGCCAGTTTATTTAGTGTCGGGTGTGTTCTCCTGCACTAATGGCAATAGCTGACCGACCGATTGATAACCTGGGAAGACAATAACTTTGATTGATGTACATCATGCTGGTATTAAAAATATGTTGCTTAAATGTGTCTGCCTATCAGAGAAACATTGTTCAATGTTTTATAGCAGCTTCCCACAAATAGTCGACTCGAGAAAAGGTAAGCATCCATACTCGCCACACACACCGACTAAAGACACCAATTATTCACTGCATTCGTCACCACTCCCCTTCATTAACCCCCTCGAAGTTTGTTATGTGTGAAAATAAGACAATCTAATAAGGACCTGCGTAATGATTGCGGTGCTTTGATAGAATTATTCCCGAGTGCTTAAATTGTTTATGGTCTTTGGCGATTGTTTTAAAAAATCATATTGAAAGTACAAAGAACATAACTAACGAAATCGGGTTGCTTAGATTTTCTATCCAACTACTGACGGAAAGAAAGGATCATGTTGCATTAAGCATTGTTACGAAACAACTTTTAGACTAAAATCTTGTGAGGCACCTTTCTGGGACAAGACATACTCTACTTTTCCAAGCCCGGCCATATCGTAATTTGACTATGTTGAAACCAGTGTTTCAAATGTATGTATACACAAGAGAAGGAAGTATAAGTGTTAGTGAGAACATTGCCAAAGTTAGTTGATTTTATTCTATACAAATCGTTTGACTTTGTCTTTTAAGGTTGTAGGATTCATGGGGAGCAGTTGAAGTATATCTGATAATCAAAACATAGCTTCTACTCGTCAAATGTATGAATAGCAGATTAAAGAATGGAGCAGTGCTTTAAGACAATGTTGTTGTACGCACTACGACTCAGTGACTTAACATAGCGGTAATCCCTCATGGTAGGGAGTGGACCAGGCCATTAATTAATTAGGGGTGACCAGCATGGCCCAATTAATTAGTGTGCTACTTTTTTCTGCATTTTGGGAGGTCTGCGTTATGGGAGTAAACCCCTCACGAGTCGCTATTCGGCTTGTCCCAGAATAACACGACTGCGTCATGAATGTATTGAAAGGTCAGTCCCTAAGCCGCAACAAGGGGATGTCCATCAAAGAGTTGTCAAAAATAATTCGTTCGTTAAGGGCGTAAAACTGTTTTGTTTCAACTCACGTCACTCTCTTCATTTCACTTACTCGAGTCAATGATGTCTTGGAGTTAATGAGCTTACCATAGATAAGTAGAAACCTTAGTGTACCTTTTGTTCATTTCTATTCTCATCGTACCATAGAACACACATTGTATCCAAACATTTTAACAAACGATTAAGGCCTGCAGGTGATCTATAGGAAATCAGATCAATTATTGTTTTATTATGATGAGGTAAATAAAATTACTTTACAAAGTTTCACAGAGCAGTGTGAACCGTTGTACCCCTCGGTACATCCCCAGGGACATCGTCCATCAACAGCATCACACGTCCCGTTACAGTGGCCGCAATCACTCTCACAGTTCAACCCGAATTTCCTATTGTCACAACCTAAGTAACAAATAAATAAAGCGTCAACTTCTATAGTTTCATGCTACACAAAATGACGTGTTCGGGGTTCATTCCTATTCTTTTCCACTGTGTCCTATCCGTTCGCGGGAAACCAATGCTTGATTTTGGCGGTTACTGACAGTCTCAAATATACTGGAAAGCCATTGAAAACGCAATTGTTATTTGTTGTCCTGAAACTTACAAAAAGTTCTATTGAAGATCCATCCACTGTTAGTCGACTCAGACAACGCTTTTCGGGCTACCGGAAGTGTTGCTGATCGTCCGCGACCTGGTGCACCACCTGTGATAACAGCTCGACAAACCGCAATATCCGAGTTTCACACTTGCGAAATCGGTTCCAAACAGCTGATGATTAGGCAAGGGAGGGACAACTGGGACAAGTCAACGTCATTTCAGCGCCCAAAGGTGCAAGGACGCCTTGCTGCCTTCAACATCCCGGTGTCGTCACCCGTACCGTGGTCCAACCATATTGCATCGCCACAGGCTTGCCAGACAGCGATGGGCAGCAAAATGGGGCCAATCTTGGCAACAGGACATGGCCAGATGTCATTTTTCAGATAAATCCAGGTTTAACTTATCCTTTTGCAGATGGACGTCAACAGATTTATCGACGTAAAGGAGAAGAGACTTGCGCCAAACTGTGTCCTTGAACATGATCGTTTTGAGGGGTGGTGTCATGATCAGGACAACAGACCATCAGAGGCTGCAGACCATCCAACAGCTGTTCCTGAGAAATGTGTGTCTTTCAATGCCCCAAAGACTGCGAGCATGTCTTGCAGCGCACTGTGGACGCACACACGATATTGACTGCAAGTGACCCCTCCTTTGTGTGTGTCATGTCGTTGTTGGGTGTCACTGATGTTGTTGACTGACATTTTCTTAGATACTGGTCTACAGATGTTCGTACTTAAAAAC